AAAAAGAAAACGAAATGTCAAGTTAAGAACCACCATCCCAAGGCCAAGCACGGTGGCTCATGCCTATAATCCTAGCACTTTGGGAGGCTGAGGTGAGAGGACTGCCTGAGCTCAAAAGTTCAAGCCCAGCCTGGGCAACTTGATGAGGCGTCATCTCTACAATTAACCAAAAAATTAGATGGGCATGGTAGCACATGCCTGTAGTTCCAGTTACTTAGAGGCTGAGATAGAAGGATCACCTGAGCCCAACAGGTCAAGGCTGTGGTGGCCGTGAGCAGCATGCCACTGTACTCCAGCCTGGGCTACAGAGTGAGAGTCTGACTCAAAAAGGAAGAACCGCCATCCCAAAATCTGGCTAGGTAACAGAGGTTTACTTATCACAGAACAGGGCAGCAAGCATCATTCTGCAAAGCAATATGGTTCACTTGCATTTCTGTCAGAGACAAATTCAGCCATCTTTTATGTCCTTCAACTCTTTTACAGTGACACAAAGACTTTTAGCTCCACTCTAATTTGTTACCAAAGATTCTAGCCTTCAAAGAGTTGAATTGGTCAAGTGATTCCCAGGGTCACGTGAAGTGTTAATACTTAGAAAAAGGCTGAGGACAAAGGAACAGTCAACACATCTTCTCACTTCTTAAGAGTACATGATGCCTGACTATTTGACAGAAGGATGATGGGATCAAGTGACAACTGGTACTTTAAGCTTTACCTCTTCTGTTTTTAAGATAAAAAATAAACTATATTTCCAAAGCATTACTCACACCCTCCCTCCCTCCTCCCATGAGGTCTTTTTGTATGTACAAGAATGAAGGAAACATGATTCCTTTCAAGAACCCAGAGTTTAAAAGGAACAGAAAAGATAAAGAGTCAGTTCTTTTGGAATATTTCCTTCCTAACAATTCTTCCCCCAGATTTTTTGTTTTAACATTACCATGCCAAGTTGTTCACCAAGTCAAGTCTTACTACCTCCAAATCCTCAACAACTCCAAGAAAGGTTATCAGTCCTCCAGGTCAATTTACAGAGAACTATCACTCATTCCTATAGATCTTGAATGAGAAGGTTTAATATGCTTCAAACAGAACAAAGCCTCACTTGTGGACCTGGGTGTTTTATCTTACGAGGCATCTATATTATTATAGCTTGTCACTCCTTTCCTATGATGAAATGATTCCTTTTCTTAGAAGTTTTGCTCCTGCTTCCCTATCATCCTTTCAGCTCCCAATTCCTACCTTAGCCAGCCACGTGTGGCTGCAAAGGCTTCTGTCACAGACAAGAGCTGTAAACTTCTCACCAACCTGGTTTTTAACTGAGCAAGTAAAGAACTCGAGAACATCCAGATTTGCTGGCACTTTTCCGACTTACCAAATCACAATCACTACTAATCTGAAGTATAAAACCCTGGAAGGATTTCTAAATCTAAAATACATTAACTATAGAAAAATAAACTTCTGTATGTCAGAATACAACCATAAACAAAGTCAAAAGACCAATACCAAACTACAAACAAATATGACAAAAAATCTTCAATAAATGTCTCAGAGGATTGCTGTTGGTTCACAGTAACTGAAAACAAAAGTCACAAGGCTTTTTCAAGTTGGGGGTCTCACTCTGTCACCCAGGCCAGAGTGCAGTGGCACAATCATGGCTCACCACAGCTTTGGCCTCCTGGGGTCAGGCTATCCTTCCACCTCATCTTCCCAAGTAGCTGGCACTACAGGTGTGCACCAAGATACCAGGCTAATTTTTTTGTAGAAGCAAGGTCTTGATATGTTGCCTAAGTTGGTCTTGAGCTCCTGGGCTCAAGTGTTCCACATACCTCGGCCTCAAAAAGTGCTGGGATTACAGGTGTGAGCCAGCACGCTTGGCCAGCAACATTTTAAAAGATGAATTTCTTATTTACAAAATCATCATGTGTTCTGTTTTTGTTTTGCAGACAACCCTGAGCTTTCATCACATTCACAGACACCTTCTGAGGGGTCCCTTCACACTGATGTCACCATATCTGGCTCCTCAAGATACTATCTTATCTAATCTTATCTATCTATCTATCTATCTATCTATCTATCTATCTATCTATCTATCTATCTATCTATCTATGTATCTTCGTTTTGAGTTGGAGTCTTATTCTTGTCACCCAGGCTGCAGTGCAGTGGCATTCTCACGGCCACTGCAGCCTCGACCATCTGGGCTCAGACCATCCTTCAACCTCAGCCTTCCAAGTAGCTGGAACTACAGGCATGAGCCATCACGTCCAGCTAATTTTTCTTGATTTATTATAGAAACGAGGTCTCGCCAAGTTGCCCAGGCTGGTCTCGAACCCACAGACTCAGGCAATCCTCTCGCCTCGGCCTCCCAAAGTGCTGGGATGACAGATGTGAGCCACTGCGCCCAGCCAAGACTTGCCCATCTCAGAGAGGTCTTCTCTAACCAGAGCATGACTGGCCCAGAAGCAGCCCAGCTTGAGCGCATCTCCTCATGATCTCTTGGACGGAACTGCTCCAGCCATCCAGATCTTTTCCAGGGTGATATAAAGCCAGGCCAATAATGGAGGATTAGAGTTTTTACTGGAACACCAAGGGTCACTTCTCCAAGGTTCCCTTTAATACTTTATGAACCGCTGGACGCAGTAGCTCATGCCTATAATCCTAGCACTTTGGGAAGCCGAGGTAAGAGGACTGCCTGAGCCTATGGGTTTGAGACCAGCCTGGGCAAATTGGCGAGACCTCGTCTCTACAGTAAATCAAAAAATTAGCCAGGCGTGATGGTACACGCCTGTAGTTTCAGCTACTTGGAAGGCTGAGGCAGAAGGATCACATGAGCCCAGCAGGCCACAGCTGCAGTGGCTAGGAGCATGCCACTGCCCTCCAGCCTGGGTGACAGAGTGAGACTCCAACTAAAA